TGGAGTTGCCAATTTGCAGCAGCTAAATATTTGGTTTCTGCCTCTGCCTGCTCAGCGAGCTGCTCAAACAAACTTCAATTAAAAGCGAGTGATGGAGTGGAGGGGAAGGGAGCGGCGGGGCGGGCTGCGGGGCTGGCTCCCCGTGGGCCCGATCGATGGGACGGACAGCTCCTCTCTGCATTCTGACTCGGCCCGCATCGCCGCTGCGCTAGGCAGGAGGACGAGGGCAATGGGGTGCTTTTTTTCTCCTTCCTTCTGCCGAATCACAGAGCACGCTTCAGGGCCCTGGGGGATGCGTGGGTGGCAGTGAAGGACGTGATCCGGACTTGGGTTGGAGACAGGGCTTGGGATAAGGAGTGTGAGCCCGGTCTAGGGGACACAGGGAGGGGCAGCACAAAGGCATCTCTCCTCTGACCCTGCCCAAATGCAAGAAAAGACAGGCCTCCTTGGGTAGACAAAACCAGCACAGAAAGCCAGTTGTCCCAGTGCCCAGTGTCTGACAATCTCAGCTTTCAGAGGGTTGGCACAGACTCAGCTTGGGTTCTGTGTTGCTGGGCAGTCAGAGTGACTACAGGTGAACCTGCAGCAACCACGGGTCCTCCACCTGAGAAGGCATAAGAGACGTCTGAAGGGCAGGGGAAGGTGATACAGAAATGCTAAACACACACATATACATACAGTACTTATATCCATATATGATGAATGATAGATAAGAAATGAAAAAATGAACTTAGAGAGGGAGGGACAGTGTCAGGGAGAGACATACACACAAATACAGCAACAGACAGAAACAGAATGACAGTATCAGAAAGAGACACAGGGACAAAGAGACAGAGACAGACAAAGACAGTGTCAGAAAGAGACAAAGAGAGAAAGATGGATATCAATAAGATAGAAGAGAGATGACCACTCTACAGATGAATAAACTGAGGCCCAGAGGCAAAGTGACTTGCTAAAGATCAGTAACACACATGAGGAGCAGAAGGCAGTTAATAAGCATTTAAGCATTTCTCTGTGTCAAGCACTTAGGTAGATTCAGGATCTGAACTCCAAATCTAGTTCTCTATTCACTACGCCACATGTGTTCCACTATATTGCTCTTTTCCAGACTTGAGAGCATTTTGGCCTCAATAAGCCTCCACCCTGCTAAAGTTTCCCTTTGCTTCCATTCCAGACTTCTCATTTCCATTTATCTCAATGTGCAGCAAATTTCTGTATACAAGGAGGTGCTCCTCCACATCGCAGTCTGTATGACCTTGAATTATCTCTCCTTTTTGGAAGACTTCCTTCCTTCTCCCCACCCCCAAACCTAACCCCTATCCTTGTCCCTCTTAGATCAGACCACTTTGATCTACCACTTCAATTCCCAACTCCTGGTCCCTTTTCCCACACAGTGAGTAGGTTCCACATTGGTTGGAGAACAAACATGAGGAGGCAGTCAAATTTAGGGTTGTTGGCCAGAAGCTTTTTCCCTCTGCTTTTCTACTCCCAACCTGTTCACAGAGACCTGGGTGGACTGAAGTAATTCCCTCTCCCAAATCAGCCTTGTGTCATCCCCTCCCACACACATATACACACAAGTACACATACACTCTGGCCATGTGCTTGGTTGCTGGGGAATCTGAGTGTAGACTCCCAACTCCTCCCCGTCCTTTTCAGAGCTCTCAGAGGAGCTGTGGAGCAGAATGATTTCCTGTAATTGGCCAGCAATCTGGTCTCCTGGTTTGTTCTATTGACGTGCTGGTTAGCTGAAAATTGTATTGGAATGTGAGTGAGGGGGGAGGGGGGAAGGAGTTGGGGTGGGATGCGATGGAGGCAAAGGAAAAGAGACTTTTCTATACCAGCTGTGGCTGGGCCAAAGAATGAGAATCAGACTGTCTCCTAGTCTCCAGAAAGTTGTACTGGGGATGGGGATAGGGGTTTAAGGCCACTAAAGGAAGCAGTATAGCAACTTGCCTCCCCCACCTGTCACAAGCCCTGAGCTATACCTCTATATATTTTCTTATGTTTGTCTGCTCCAGGTTTTGAGTGACCGTTCTCCCACACTGGCTCCAATTCTATCTTCACCTCACACCCTAATGAAAGAGCCTTCTCCGTTACTGTCCCTGTCATGCAGCAGACTCTTCCTGAACTTTGCCTTCCTCTTCATCTCCTATTAAGGGACTAGAAGCCCACTAGTATTACTACTCACACAAAAATTTAAATGCTTACTATATGTACCCTCTCAGATTTTGAAGAAACAGTTTTAAGAGGAATCAAAAGAAATGCTTTTACACAAAGTAGGCAATAAACAAATGAAATTCATTCCCCAGAGTTTATAGGGGGTCAAAAATATGGTGATGACTCTTAGATCATCTATAGATTCCTGATGTGTAAATACAGGGGCATTAGGAATATCTCATGGTATACTTCCTAACCTGGGGATGACTTTATGGAAGGTCAGTGCCAGGATTTTCCCCAATCTTTCTTCTCATGATGCTACTGGTGACACAGGAAGCTGGGCTGGCTGGATCCACCCCTTCTCAAATTTTCTTTTAAGTACTTTAGATCTCTCCTGGGTCTTTCTCACATCCTACCTTGTAGCATACTTATTTGCAAAGATGTGCTATCTGCTTTTTTATACAGTAAGCACCTTGAGGGAAGGGACTATGTCATTTTTCATCTTTATATTCCTAACTCTTATCATAAGAACTTGCACATAGTAAGATCTTAATATCTATTAAGTTGCATGCTTGTTGAATGGATTAGACTCATTCATTATTTCTGGGATTACAACCTCTACCTAAGTTTCCCCTTTACCTTTTAAGGTAGACAGGTTAGCAAAAGGAAACGAAAATGGTTAAGTGCCTAAGAGCCAAAGCTTGGGTGGTAAGATTCATGGTTCTACCATAAAATCTCACATTACATGAACCAATTCCTAACCTTCTCTTGTCTCTGTGCCTATATTAAAGGAGAAAATAACTCCTGACCTTGGAGTATGCTTTGGGACATCTGCTGGGTAATCTAAGTAAATGGGCAGGCAGACCCCAGGTCTGAGGCCCCTACTTCTGCCTGAAAGAATAAAGATGCTAGAAACCTAGCAATTTTAATGAAAGCCCCTAGACCTTAGAAAGCTCAAAGCTATAGTTATCCTCTTGTCCCTCTTTTTTTTTTTTTTAATTCCCCTTTGGTCTGTTTTCCCTTTATAGCAAGGGTTAATTTGGGGTTCATGAACTTGGTTTAAAAAAAGTTTTGATAACCGTATTTCAATATAATTGGTTTCCTTTGCAATCTTATTTTATACATTTCAAAATATTCTGAGAAGAGGTCCATAGGCTTCACTAGACTGCTAAAGGGGAAGAGAAGAGGGAGGGGAGGGTGACTATGCCCATTCTCAAAGCCAAGATGGGAAGAAATGGCAGAAGGAAATGTCAGGCAGCAGCAGCAGCAGCAGAGAGAATGTAAAAGTTAGCATCTCCATTTCTCAGCTCTCCTCTAGAGACTAGAGCTGATTTCAGGATGTTGCTTCCACCTACTGGTGGAAAAGGGATTTTACCTCTGTGGGCTTCTGGAATCTGTCTTCTGGGTCCATTTCTGGGTGGGTACCACATGTCTCCAATTGTTTCTGGGTGGCCCAAGTCCTCTCTTCTAGCCAGCTATAGCCCAGCACTCTAAACAAATAGGAGTTGCCAGGTCATTTAGTGGCTAGGTTTGGGGATCCTACTTGACCCCAGTGGATAAGGTATTTGAATGCCCCTAACAATCAGCTGCAGAGAAAGCCCTAAGGGCCAAATGGTGGGGTGGGGTAGGAGAAAAAATGGAGCTGTTTCCAGGGCTACCCTGTTCATCTCTTCCCCTCTACCTAAGAACCGTGGTCATCAGGGCAGCTCTTACCTCTAGAAAGAACTCCCCAAATTTCCAGTCTCTTCTTCTCCTTCTAAGGTAGTAGTGGTGGAGGAGACATTTAAAAGCTTGCTTTGGTGACCTGGGAAGCCCTACCAATGGTAATGCCACCCCCATTGGCCACAGGAACAATAATTCCTCTTTGCCTATCTCTCCTCAGCCAGTGAACCAGAAGAACCTATTTCCCTTTGGGGTTTCGCTGAGCGTTAATGAGCTGATGTCTCTGAAGCACATGGTGCTATGAGGAAAGGTGCACAAAATGTGGCCACTGCACTATTAGCATTTATCACAATTATTTCTAGGCTTAATAGGATGCTTCTGTCCCAAGATGAACACATCATCAGCAGGTCTGTTATGTTCTGAAGGAAAAAACTTTTTTTTTTATTGCAATATATACCTAGGAATAAAAGGACTGGAGGTGTGGCAAAGAACACAAAAAAGTAGAGGGGGTGCAGAGGTTGAGCAAGAGTCACTAGCAGGCTTAGGTAGGGGGACATGTGCTTCAGCCAAGTGGAGGGGCTAGAATGGAATCACAAAGAGTAAGGGGGGATGGGTTTGGGGGAAAACAGATCAGTTTCAGCCTCCAGTTTCAAAGCTGGACACAGACTGTGTCCCCATTTGGTGGTGATGAACCAAATCCAGAAAACCTGTGCTTGTCATTTGGTTCAAATGTTGCTGTCACTCTAAGGCAGTGGCATAACTAGGGCAGCACAAGCGACACAGCTGCCCTGGGTGCAGTAACAACAGGCAACATAGGGGCCCTGGAGGTAGACACCTCCTTTTGATCCAAGTCAGGCAGGAATGCCAAGCCAGGAGTGAGATTCCCCTTGGAAAGTTTCACTAACCTCACAGGGTGGGGGTGGGGGGGTGGGGGGGAGGAAGAGACACTGGAGAAACCTGGCAGTGGGGGGGGGGGGATGGTCCATCCTTCCACTGTAGGCATACTACCAGGAATGAAAGCACCCAAGACAGTTCAAAAATGGGTGCATGAACTCCAAACCAATGGCCTATAGAAAGGATACTACATTCTGTCTATACATGTCAAAACACATAAGCATGCACACCCACCCACGAGGGCTCTGAGTGGAGGGCACAGGTCATAGTCTCTGAGAACTGAAGACTGTTCATTCATGGACATTTATTGAACTAGCAAGAACAACATGTTATACCAGGGAGCTACAATTACCCAAAGCTCCATAGGAGCCACTTCAAATGCAGATGAAGAGAGGGAAGGGGAGAGAGGAAACTTTCTTTAAAGATGCATACAAAGTCAATCTCTTGGCCTGTAGCTCCCTGTGGCACACAAAGATGCCACTGGAACAGAATAAAGAAAAAGAGACATCAGTAAATTGGTTCCTAACTCAGGAGTCGTCAGTGTCCCCTCCAAAGGTTGTCTCTTTTATGACAATAGTGCCAACCTTTCCCCCAATCTCTCAGCCCAGCAGGCTTGCCTAACAGAAGAGGAAGGAAAGAGCTCAGAGTCTGTGGGAGGGATGGATAGAATAGAACATTGCCTTCTCCTTGGCAGTGTTCAAGACCCTGTTGCTTGGCCTCAGCATCGTTAGGCTGGGCTGTCAGTCCTGGAAGTGGGCTAAGGGCCTTATTAAAGCAGGAGGTGCCGAGACAACAGGTATATGATGCCAACAAAACCAGCAAACAGGCCAAGCCTCAATGGTAAAAAGTCCAGGGAATCCTCTAGCTGGGAATGTAGGTGGAGGGTCTGACGACGAGTGGCCTCCCACTCCCCTGAGTTGTCCAGGATGTGCCGAGCCAGTTGGCGCTTCTCTTCCAGAGGCAGTTGGGCTGCAATCCGTTCCTCAGCCTCCTCTCGACTGAGCCCATTCCGCTGCATCAGCCGTGACAGCTGGGTCTGGGGGTCACTGGTGAGAGAAAGGGGGCAGTGCTCAAATAGGAGGGAGACCCTCACCCCACCTGACCCACTAGGGACATTTTATCTTGGGAGAAAGGCACAGAGAAATGCTTCTCAGTACATACTGGGTCCCTCTCATTCAGATACCGTGGTTCCAGTTGGACTATAGTCCTACCCCCAGTCTTAGAGAGGGCAGATCCCTGCTTCCAGGCAAAGTTAGTAGTGATTGTGGATTTGAAAACAATCTCCACTTATATTTCTTGTCCTGCTTCCCTAATTCTTTAATGTGCCTTTGAAAAAGAACATGTCTTAGGGTAAACCCCAGGTACACAAAATGTTAGTTATGCCACGGCCCTACAGCCCAGAATTTCAACTTAACCCTTCGTAAACAGCAATCCAAGTTGGTGACATTAGCTCTCTCCTTTTCTCCCCTTAGGGTTTCTGGCCAAGTCAGTGTGACCTTTACTTAAAGGGCTGTCTCCACCAGCTAAGCCCTTTCAGCTAGCTCCCCTGAGGCCCCAGGGCTGCTGGCTGCATTCTGAATAGCTTCCTAGGGCTGTCATGAAGCTTCGTTTCCCTTTGCAGACCGGTCCCAATCCCTACCATCGCTACTCCCTCCCCAAATCCAGAATGCTATGCAGAGCAACCAACCTGTGCTGAGGATATGGCCAGTGTGGCTAAATAAAGGGCTATGTGCATTTGGGCAGTGGGCAGGTTTAGAGATAACTAAGGGCTTTCCACACTCAATCAATACTGAACTACCATTTATCAAAAGCCTTCCCTGTCCAATGCACTGTGCTCGGTGCTGGAAGGAATTTTAAATGACCTCAGCTCTTGGGGTCAGCTAATTACTGGAATGTAAGACTACCTGCTGCTCCAGTGATTTTTCTGCTAGAAATCCAAAGATCCTTCTCACATCTAGAATTTACTATCAAGGTCCAAAGACTCCTTATTCAGTAGGTTCCCTGTTATGCCTGACGTGTCCCTTCCTCTCTTGAGTGACACTGCGAATTTTTAAGGAAGATAAGCCAGCCTAGAGAAGAAATGTGCTGTAGCCCCATTTTAGGCCCTGTAGCCCCCCAAGTGCCTTCCCTTTCTGTCTTCCCCAAATGTAAAAGGGGCTGGCTGGTTGCATAGGAACTAGAAATGTTGTTATTCTAATACTTATTAGATCAGTAGACAACCTTGGCTGATTAAAAAAAATGGTAAAACAGCAAAGGTTAGTAGCAGCTTTTAAAGAAATTTGGACATAAAAGCTGATTCTTGCCATCTTTGCTACGCGTCAGCCTCCAGGTCTCCTGGATTTTTCCACCAAGCCTCAATTTCTCCATTTGAAAAATGGGAAGATTTTGTCATATATTGGAATTCGGCAAGACAACCAAAGCAGGAATAAGTGGTCTAGACATATACAACAAACTCTTCTCACCCACACAATGAACTCCCCAATTATTTCATCTTACTGGCATTTCACTGCAGAACACAGCTAATAAGGTTAAAGTCATGGGGTCAGTTCCTGCTGGGGTGGTTTGGCTCTGCATTAATAATAGCAGCTCACATTTATATAATGCTTTACAGTTTACAAAGCACTTTGCTGACAACATTGTGAGGTAAGTAGCATGAGTATTATTACACCCATTTCACAGATAAAGAAGCAAGTCAATTGGAGACCTAGGAACTTGAAACCTGCCTCATCCTTATAGTGTTAGGGAACTGATAGTCTAGAGGTAAGATCCCATTCAGCTATGTAACAGTTTAGATGACTTGACTATACCCAAGTATAATCACTTCCTGGAGCAGCTAGATGGTGCAGTGAATAGAGCTACGGCCTTGGAGTCAGGAGGACCTGAGTTCAAATCCAGCCTCAGACACCTTACACTTACTAGCTATGTGACCCTAGGCAAGTCCCTTAATCCAATTGCCTCACCAAAAAAAGAAAAAAAAAGGATAATCACTTAATCACTTCCTAGGATAAAAACAGGGCACAATATAAGGCAAAGAGCCACAAAGTAGGTAGTCTTGTATATTTAGGGTACTAAGGTAGCATACCCGGCACTACTTCCTATTACGTGCCTCCTATATATCCTCTCCTGGGGACCACCCTGAATCCAAAATACTTGAGAAACCAAGCACCTCCAAAACAACTGTGGGAGGCATCCAGGAAGCATCTGAGCCGAAGACACCCTGGTATCTCATCTGTTCTTGCTTACTGGATCACTAGGGACCATGACTCATTTTTCCTTGACAGTTTGATCCTCCTCCACTTGCCAAACCTGGATTTTATTTGCTTTGTCCCACTATCCCCGAGAGGACAATGTAGAATAAATCAGCTTCACTTGCTCACTAGTACTCTCATAGTTCCCCTGTGTATAAGAGCTCAACCACTGTGTGACCTTGGACAAGTCCCTAAATGTCTGTGTCTATTGTGTCTCTCTCATTGGCAACATGGGTATAATTACCCCTGTCCTACCTTATGTTGGAAGGATAAAATGAAAATGGACATGAAGGCAATCTGTTTTGAACATGAAAGGCTATTATCGACGACAGCTTTGCTCATCTTGGTTTACCTGCCTGTATGCCTGTAACAGCCAGCAGGGGGAGCTCTCCCCATGTACCATAAAGCCTTGAGAACCAATGACAAAAATCAGCAAGAATGGAACAGCCTCCCTACCAGGCTCAACTGCATAACATCAGACTGGTCAATATTCAGGGCCCAGTTCATTGGGGTCTTAACTTCTCATCTTGACAAAGAGTGAACAGTGTTGCCCAGGCAAATGTCCCACCACTGCCTGAGGGAATCTTTATCCCAAGATCAACAGGCATTTTTCCACTTCAGAATCACAACTCACCAATATACCACCACTGTGTGCTTCATGAATGGTAACATTGTTTTAGTTTCAAACAGCAAGGGGATGTCCAAGATCACATATCGGTACCCTGGGGAGAGGAAGGAAAATGCCCAAAAGAATAAGAAGAGCCGGTCATCATCCTTTCCTGCTCTAGATACCCTATTTTCTTTATTCAACTAAGTGACAAGAAAAGCACTGTGACTCAGCTGATGAGCTGGATTTTGACCTAGGAAAATGGCAAGGCCTTGGGGAGCTGTATTGAAGAACTGTTGGTTTGGGTGGAATATAAGATTAATGAAAGGAAACAGATAAAGCTGTGTGGAACCAAATGTAGAGGGCACTGAATGCTAGGCTGTGGAGATAAGACTTTATTCAGTAGGCACGGAACTACCAAAGGTTTTTTTTTTTAGATGGGAGGTGGGGTGGCACAGAAGGAAGAGAAGAGAGCAATGATATATTAGAGGCAGGTGCAAAGGCACTGAAAGAGAGGAGGAATTATAGTCAAAGATAGAACACTGGGACTTGTGGCTGCAGAGACTGAGGGGGAAGATGTGTTTATCTGCCCGAGGTGGCCAAGCTGATAGCTTAAGCAAGGTCACACTGCCTCCAATGAGACAAAGTACATGGGATCCTTTGAAGCCAAGGCCCAGACTGGATGTTCTCTTCAAAGAGCTTGGGTCATATTTGAACAGGACATCCCTTAAACATCAGTGGGACATGTCAATGGAATTCTATTCCTATGGTGGTAGGCTGCAGTTACCTAGTCCCCACATGACCAAATGGAATCTGTGAAAAGACTGACTGGAGTCAAGGGATGAAACTCTCAGTAGGGAATGGAAATTTTCTTTGCATGCAACTGGACTGGATGGGGACAAAACCAATGGCCACATTAACACTAGGCTTTTAACCTCTCAGCCTGTTTTCTTTTTTGCAAAATTAGGATAATACCATCTGTCCTGACTCAAGTGGATCTTGTGAAGGTCAAATGAGAAAATGTTAAGTGAAAATGCTTGTGTGTCTAGTTGTTTTCAGATGTGTCTGACTCTTCGTGATCCCATTTGAGGTTTTCTTGGCAAAGATACTGAAGTGGTTTGCCATTTCTTACTCCAGCTCATTTTATAGATGAGGAAACTGAGGCAAACAGGGTTAAGTGACTTGACCAGCGTCACAGAGGCTATATTTGAACTCATGTCTTCCTAAGTCCAGGCTCAGCACTCTGTCCACTATACCACCTAGCTGCCCCTTAGAAAATGATTAGGAATCTGTAAAACATGCCACAAATATGAAGAATTATTATTATGCATAAATGCTCCGGGATTATTCCCTCTTTGATTCACAGTGGAGCTGACATTCAAGATCAGTGAGCCAGGGAGAAAACCCAAGCTACCTGCTTCCCAGTCACCTAGCTCTGCTGACTGAGAAGCCCAAGAGAAACACATGGGACTCCCCAAAGCAACAAAGACCAGACTGCATGAAAGGACCTGAGAACGGAGGCTGGCAGCACTGCTTACCCACCTCAGCGCCAGAGCCAACACAAGCTCCTTTTAAAACCTCTTATCTCCCTTTGCCTCTCCCTTCGATGTGTCCTTTCCTCTGGGCTCCTCATGGGAGCCTATGGCCAGTGCTTTGGTTCACCAGTAAAGGTCCATTCAGCTGTCACATCCCTCCTGCTTGATAAGCTCTACAAACTATCCTGACTCTATTAAGACATTCTTCTGCCTACACAGAGACCTCCCCCAACAGCTGGTGATCTTATCTGACGTTTGATTATACCAACTTTGACAGTTGTATTTGTTATACTCATCAGGGGAAAACTGGGACTGTGGAAGCCACAGCTGTCGTCCCCATTTTTCACCTTATCGAGCTGAAAAGAGCTTTCTGGCTTTTATTTAAGGGAGGCAGAGTGGGGTGGGGGAAGCACAGAGAATGTTTCAGAGCAGGTGACATTATCCAAGGAGTAATCTCAGAAGGGAAGCTACACTGCCTGCTGCCTTGGAGCTCTACAGATGTACTTGTAACTGGCCTGGGAGGGAATGCAAAGGGCACAAATGAAAGGCACAGGGTTCCATTCCTGGAGCCAAGGGGGGGTGGTGGTGAAGGAGCACAAAGGCACAAGCATCCAGAAAGAAGATAGGAGAGGGGAGGGCTGAGGCAGTGTGAGAGAGAAGACAAACAAGTCAGACTGGTAAAGAGGAAACCTAGCTCATGGTCCCATTCTGAACCTGAGTCAGAGTCATCAGATGTCTTTACACTGTCAGCAAAGACCCCCAGAGAGAAAGAAAGAAAGATGAGGAAAGGAGGAACATCTCCTGGCTTTGTAAAGGAGAAGTAGACAAAGCGGCAAGGAAAAGATCTTGGCTACAAACACTACTTGGAGGCCAGAAATAGGCTAGAGAAATCCTGCTAATCTAATGTTCTAAATATAATGCTTCTCTTAGTAGTTGTGGCCACTTCCACAAGGGAAATTTTAAAGTTTACCCTTCGGGAGTTTGGGGGAAAAGGAGGGGGGGAAGGAAATTAAAAATGCATTAGTTCTGAAAATGACAGCTATGGTGCATGTGTCAGAGAATAAAGGCTACATTTTCCCTATTGCTGCTGCCATACTTCAGCTCTTTGAGATGTGGGAACTTTGGTGCATTTTTTTGAAAGGTTACTAACCTAAGCATTAGCCAAATGACTCCTACTCTCTAACCTTTTCAAACTATTTTCTTCTTCCATTATTTCCAGTCTTAGAAGAGAGGCAACCCAGAGGAGTGCACCTGGAATCAAGAGCTACCTGGGTTCAAAACTTGCCTCCAAAATGTACTAATTGTGTGGCCTTGGGTAAGTCATAACTTCTCTGAATCTCAGTTTCCTCATTACTAAAATGGAGATAAGATACCTGTAGTACCAACCTTGGAAGGATGTTTTGAGGGTCAAAAGACATATTTTTATAAATTTTAAAGTCTTCTTAAAATGTCAGTGATTTTTTGCAGCACATCATCTTGTGTGTCCCTCCATATGTCTGGCTCACTCTCACCTGAAAACCTTTCCCCAGGCTAGTCTCCCCCAGTTGGACCACCTCTGAGGACTCCTTCATCCCTTTCTCTTTGTTTTAGCTCCAGCTAAAGACTCATTTCCTCCAGAAAACCTTTATTGAAAATGCTCCCTCTGATTGTCCCATTCTGTTCCCTATTCCCTTGAACACTAGTTACTCCTCATAATAACATTTATTAGTCCAGATGTAGGTATTCTATAACTTTCATGAATGATTGCATTGTCTCCATTTGTCTGGGAGGCTTGTTACTTCAGATACTTCTAGCATGAGGCTACCAAGGTCAAGGTTACCTATTTCCCAATGGGTAAAAATTCCTATTTCACAGGTAGCACCTTTAAACCATAGATTAGCCATCTTGCAAAAATGAATACCACATGTTAGGAAGAGAATTTGAAAAGAGAGTGTATAATTCAATATAATACATTCTCACTATCAGGGAGAAAAGTCAGCTACAAGGCCACCTCCCCTAGATTGAATCAAAAGCATTATCATATAAAGTTTTAAGTTCCTCAATGGTGAGGACAATATGCCTTCTATTCCACATGTATCCTTCCTTCTCATGGGGCCTAGAATAGAATTCTGTACTAAGTATCAAATAAACGTTTTGATTGACTGGACTTACTGTCCAACTCTCCACCATCACTCTCTCCTTGTTACCATAATTGACTTGCTACGAAGGTAAGAAGGACAAAGGCTGTTGTCCCAACAGTCATCAGGGAAGTCCCAGAATTCAAAATGGAAACATCACACCTCAGCCTCCCTCCTTGCCCCCCCCCCCAAGTCTCCAGCCTCTGGCATCTCACCCTGAACCAAGTACTTCAGGATCTGCTTCAGCATCTCCTTACGAATGTCTGGATGGGTGATGGCATTCAGCAGTTTCCGCTTCTCAGAATGGCAGAAGATGATGTTTCCCAAGGCCTGGCGATTGATCTCTCCATTGTCTAGCAGGATCTCTTGTCCAAAGGCTTGCACAATACGATGGTAGGCAGGGTACCCTGGTTTTACCACTGGCAAGGGAGGGGAAAAGAGGTAAGCACAGGAACAGACCCTGAAAGATTTAATCCCATTGTTGTTAAAAAGTCTCCAGGCAAGAATGGTGATGTAATTTGACAGATAGTGTGCTTTGATGTGGGGCTTGAATATCCTAAAGGAAGAGGTATAGTTTACCTTTTCACTTGTAAAAAATAAAGATGCAGAATTAGAGGACTAAGGAGAGTAAATAATTCCTTATCTTAGAAACAAGTGTCAAGGAAGGGGTCCCAAAAGAAAAAGGATTTTTAAAAGAGAGGATAGTGATAGAAACAGAAAAAGAGAAAAGGAAATTAGACTAAAGTATCAACTCTGCCACCTATTTTTTGCTTCCTGTCTATTAGATTATAAGCTCCCTGAGTGCAGGATCACTCTCTGAACACAGGAACAGCTTAATGTTTGTTGAATTGAATCCCCTCCTTTCCCATCCTCCAACTCACCCTGGTGGGCAATGGCATCTGCATCGATCACAGCACAGCCCAGATCCTTGAACACCTGAACTACTGAGCTCTTTCCTGAGGCAATGCCCCCTGACAGGCCCACCAGGAACATCCTGCCTCAGCAAGACTGGGTCAACTCCGCCAGCCCAACAGGAGAGGGGTCAGGGAATCCCTAGGTAACAAAACAAGCACAGATGATTAAGACTGGAATTTAGGAAACAGTGCAACTGTTCCAATAAAGCATGTTTTTGTCTGTCATGGGGAAGGGATACAGTGTGAACTGAAAGATATAGTCTCCGCCTTTGAGGAATTTATAGTCTGAGGAAGCTCAAGGTGGGAAGGATAGAACACATCTACATGAAAGGAATGAAGGGTCAGCTAGGTGGCGCAGTGGATACAGCACTGACCAGCCCTGGAGTCAGGAGGACCTGAGTTCAAATCCGACCTCAGATACTTGACAACTAGCTGTGTGACCCTAGGCAAGTCACTTAACCCCAATTGCCTCACCAAAAAAAAAAAGAAAAAAAAAGGCAGAATGAAAAACACTCTTATTAAGAAACCGCAATAAGCACAAATGCCATTTATTTCATGAAAACTTCCTTTACTTCAGATCTTATACTGTACTTCCCATCATATTGTATTCTGCATTATGAAGATTTAAACAGTCATTGCATATTTAAAGTGTCCTATCCTACCTGCTAGGGCGGCTAGGTGGCGCCATAGTGCACAAAGTGCCAGTCCTGGGATCAGGAAGACTTACCTTCTTGAGTTCAAATCTAGACTCAAGACATGTACTAGCTGTGTGACCCTGGGCAAGTCACTTAACCCTGTTTGCCTCAGTTTCCTCATCTGTTAAATGAGCTGTAGAAGGAAATGGCAAACCATTCCTGTACCTTTGCCAAGAAAACCCCAAATGGGGTCACAAAGAGTCGGGACACGGCTGTAACAACTGAACAGCAACACATCTTACATGTTACACTGTAAGCTCTATGATGGCAAATTATTCACTAGAATGTAAACTTCTCGAGGACAGGGGTTGTTGTTGCCTTTCTTTGTATTCCCTGTTTTTAGTACAGTGCCTGCCAAGTAGTAAACGCTTAACAAATGTTCATTCAACCAACCACTGTAATAAATGGTGCCTACAGTGTAGCAACACTAGGGTAGACATTGAGATAATTTAGACACGGTCCCTGCCCTCATGGAGTTTATACACCTGCATAGTATTACATAAATGTGTAAGTGTTGAAAGTATATGAACAAGGTCAAGTAGGGTTAATTAAGAAATATTTCCCTAGTAATAGATACAAGTTTTATTGAGCCAGGTTTTGAATGAGGAATACAGATAGACAGCTGCATATGAAGAACTCACAGTATGTGAGGTATGCAATCTTTCATTCCTATAAACCATTTTTTGAGAAGCAAGGTGGTTTAGTGGTTTGAGAGCTCACCCTAGAGTCAGGAAAACCAGGGTTCAAGTCCCACCTGTGACACATGCTGGCTATATGACCCTAGAAGTCAACTAACCTTTCATTGCCAGAGACGCAATTACAGAGAAAACGATGATCTGTATTGATAGAGGGAGTTCCACACCAGAAGCTGCCATAGATAAAATTACAGATGTGATTAAAAAATGTAAGCTCCCTCTGTCTAAAAAGGAGAAAAATAGGTCACCTGACATTTTTCAAACTAAGAAACTGAGGCTCACTGAAAGGAAAAAGCATGCCTGTAAGCATACAGAGAAATCACTAGAGACCTTAAAAATTCACTCTAGGTGCCCAGGTACTCAGTCCAGCCCTCTTGCCAGAAATTCTCTGAGGCTTCCTCCCAGGAAAATGGCAAAGCAATCCCCCAACTCAAGCTTATAATGGACTCAGGGCTGAGTGAGTTTAGTCTGTCTGAGATAAATAATCCTTCCTTTCTTGTCTAGGAGTTGTCCAGATGGGGAGCTCAGACACAAACAGCAGTTTATGCTTAGCTGCCACTAAGCCTGCTGGAGCAAAGGTTTTTGCCAAGAAGAAATTCTAGAGCAAAGAGGGGCTGAGGAAGGAGCAAAGGGGGTCTTCATGGGAGGTTCTAGCTAAGCCAAGGCATCAATGTGAGTGACTTTTGGGGGTTGGAGGTGAGGAGAAGCTGAGTAGTAGCATTTACTATCTCTTTTTAAAAATGTTTTTTATTAATTTATTTTGACTTATCAATAATCACTTTCATATGCTTTTGAGTTTAAAATTTTTCTCCCCCTTCCTCCCCACCACCCTCCCCAAGACGGTGCACAATCTGATATAGGCTATACATCTACATTCATATTAAACATATTTTCACATTAGTGATATTGTAAGTAAATAGGAGGAACCATCAGAAAGAGGAAACAAAACTCAACAGAAGAGAAAAAAATAACAATTCGGCTTCCATAGTTCTTTCTTTGGGTGTGGATAGCATTTCCCATCACAAGGCCTCTGGAGATGTCTTAGATCCTTGTATTGACAGGAAGGGTTAAGTTTATCAATATTAAGTCATCACACAACATGGCTGCTATTGTGTATAACGTTCTCTTGGTTCTGCTCACTTCACTCAGCATCAGACCATACAAGTCTTTCCAGGTTTTTCTGAAGTCAGCCTGTTCATCATTTCTTATAGCACAATAGTATTCCATCATATTCATATACCACAACTTGCTCAGCCATTCCCCAATTGATGGGCATCCTCTCAATTTTCAATTCTTTGCCACCACAAAAAGAGCTGCTATGAATATTTTTGTACATGTGGGTCCTTTTCCCATTTGTGTGATCTCTTTGGGATATAGCCCTAGAAGTAGCATTTACTATCTTACAACCACCAGTTATCAGTCATCAACAGGCATTTATTAAAGGGTATGCGCCAGCTACAGGGTGAAGTGCTAGGGAACAAGCACAAGATGGACAGTCCCTGCTCTTAAGGAGTTTACATTCTAATGGTGGAAGATGACATGGGGGACAGGGAACCCACTGAGTTCTCTATTGGTGGCAAAGTAGTAAAGCCTGAAACCAGAAGCAGAGCCAGGAGAGGAATGGAAGGATGGCCAGCTAGGGTCCTTTCCTCAAAATGGAGTTTCCAGGAGGAATTTACCAATGAGAAGTGGTGAGTTACAATGTAATTCACTTGTACTTGGTAGCACATTTTTCCTGCATGTATTCTTTATGCCTTTTTGTTTTCACGGATGTGTCCTTTCTCTTCCCACATACTGGAGGCTTCCTGAGGAATGATAGGATCACAGATTCTTAAAAGAACCTTGGTGCTTATCAAGTCCATTTTACATATGAAGTTACTGAGGCCTAGAAAGGTTTGTTGTTCAGTCATGTTCAACTCTTTGTGATGCCTTTTTGCAGATTTTTCTTAGCAAAGATACTGGAGTGGTTTGTCATTTCCTTCTCCATCTCATTTTACAGATGAGGAAACTGAGGCAAACAGGGTTAAGTGACTTGCCCAGGGTCACACAGCCAGTCAGAGGCCAGATTAAAGAGGGGGAAAAAAGGAGGAACAGAAGTTCTAGGTCTTCCCCTAGAATTCAGGAGAAGGCTCTGTGACCCAGAAGGGGAACTAAAGACAGAAATGTTTGTGCTTATAAATGAATCCAATATATAATCTATGACAAAGATGAAGTAGTAGTTGTTGTTGTTGTTGTTTTCTGTTAATGAAGGTCAGTGACCCACAGGGATAAAAGATTAATATAAGGTAACTAAATATCCCCCATCAAAGATTCAAAAACACGGCTATTCATGAAACCTTCTCATCTCATTTTCAGATAAAAACCCTAACTAGGATTCATACTCTAAAAAGTAATGGGGAGGTGAAGAAGGAAGTACACAAGCATTTATTTAGCACCTACTATGTGCCAGACACTATGTGCTAAATGCTTTTCAAATATTATCATATTTGATCCTCACAACAACCCTGGGAGGTAGATACTAATATTATTCCCATTTTAGAGTTGAGGAAACTGAGGCAGACAAAGGTTACATGATTTACCCAGGGTCACACAGCTAGTAAGTGTCTTTGGCCAGATTTGAACTCTGGTCTTCCTCACTTTAGGCCTAACACACCATTTACCTGCCTACAGGAAAAGGAATAACACATTCCATTTTAGAAAAAACTATTTTTTTTCCTCCAGACCTAGTGTTCTTTTATGATTTCATTGCTAAAGCAATGTTGCATTTGGGAAGCTAACAGAACAAATAGAGATACCATTTCTGGGCATTCTAGATTCAGATTAAGCTGAGGGGTCGGTGTTTCATATTTTTGTCATCTAGAATCAGGGCTCAAATATCTGTGTGGATTGAAGGGAACAGTAGGACAGATAATCCCCAAAAAGTTGTTAATCCAAAACCATTTCTTATGGACCTTCAAATTTGTCATATGACTACTTTTTTTGCAGCAGTAGCAAATTTACCATACTAATTATGATTATGTTAACTGATACTGAAATTAATTTTCTTCCCCTAAGGACACATCAAGTGATGGAGGAAGAAACAACCCAAATATGTGCTAGGGAAAGCTAATTTAGAATTTTAAAGTTTGTTATGGAACATTCACACAGATAATTGACAACTGACTGGACACTATGAAGAATTACCCTCCCCTCAAAGAATATGTCATCTAAAATGGTAAGCCAGAATCAATGGACACATTGGTTCTGTATTTTGCAATTGTAATAATTTTTCCTCTAATGGGGTCACCTGAGACAACTTCCACATTACAAATAGAAGAGATAGGAGAATTTCATTCAAACGAGCCTGAGAACACTGGTCGAAGAATCCAAAACATAAAAACAATTAGTATTTACATAGCATTTTACATATATTATCTCACTTGCTCCTCACAATAACTTTCTGAGGTTAGTGCTAATATTATCCTCATTTTACAGATGAGAAAACTGAGACTTAGAGAAGTTAAGTGACTTGTTTAGGTCATAGTTGTGTCTGAGGTAGGATTTGAATTCCAGTCTTGCTGATGCAAGTCCAGTACTCTATCCATTGCATCACCTAACTAGTGGACAACCCAGCAATATACATTATAATCCAAGCCCTTTGTTCCCACTGTATGCCTATTTCTCTTGAAGTAAAATGGATAGATTTTCTTCTGCTCAGCATCATCAAGCAGCATGCCTTTTTTTTTTAAGTGGTGACATTAACTCAGGGAGTTTGGATGGACCCCTGGTACTCACAGGGCACACCCTCTTTATTGCCAACCTTAGGGACACAGAATCAGCCAATTTTATAGCTTGCAGAGACCTTAAAGATAGTTAGTTCCAAACATTTTATTTGACAGATGAGGTAGAAGCACAGAAAAATTAGAGAACTTATCCAAGGTCACCCAGTATAATAGTCTTCTTCCTAATCTACCTAATGTGACAAACCTGGGCTATGTCCCTTCATAAGTTCATTTTAATATTAATCTAATTGAAATCATAGTTAGGAAGATAAATCTGCTGGGGAGGGAAACAATAATACACTTCAAAGACAAAAAGAAATGATGTTTATATTACTGGTTCTCTTGAATATCATACCATTACCACCACCTCCCCCCTTCATGGAGAGGAGAGAGTTAACTCTGGACAGAATCACAAAGAGCAATGCAGCCAGGATACAGTGCTAGGAAACCCAAGTTCTAGCCTCAGGTTTATCCCCGGCAAATCATTTCATCTGCCTGTGTTTGTCTGTGAAAACAAAGCACAGCTGTTCTGTCTGTAGAAAGCCAGAAGCATGAAAAATACAAGGATGGGATGGCTTTGGGCTCCTTGGCTTAAAGGTCAAGGAGTACACTATAACTAATTGTACAAACATCCATAGAGCCCTTTTGTGTATGGAGGCATAAGAAAACATTGTTCCCTCAAGAAACTTGTAGTCTAGGGGCAGCTAGGTGGTGCAGTAGATAGAGCACCAGCCCTGAAGTCAGGCCGACTTGAGTTCAAATCTGGCCTCAGGCCGAACACTTGACACTAACTAGCTGTGTGACCCTGGGCAAGTCACTTAACCCTAATTGCAAAAAAAAAAAAAAGAAAGAAAAGAAAGGAAACTTGTAGTCTAGTTAGGGAGACAGGATAGAAAAATGAAAAAATAACTTATATGCCAGTAGATGGATGAGAAGTACAAACTTCAGAACTAGGCACTGAGGAGTCTCTTCTTCCCCAGGTGGCTGCTCAAATACAGGTTCTAGGAAGATGAACTAGTCGAGTAGTGCTTACAATCCATCCATTGCTAGAAGATGAGGGATGACCTCTTAAGGCTTTTTCCAACTCTAGTGTTCTGGGTCTTTTACTTATTGCTATAAAGTGTCATGTGTGGGGCATTCTGGAAGACCACAAGGACTCCTTCTGGGCATGAACCAAGTCTATACTTCTTTTCTACTACCCCTACAAAGCAAAACTGCTTACTGAATGAGTGGCCAATTTTTAGGAGTTTCTTTCCCCAGGACAATAGGCTGCATCCAGTTAGTTAAACTCCATGGGTAGTAATCATAGAATTCAAGAATCTGAGCTGAAAGAAAATTTTAAGCTTATTTGTCCAATCCTGACACTTAACAGAGGAAGCAGAAAGGCTAGAAGAACTCCTTGCCCAAGGTTA